TTTTTTTCTCTTCTTCAATTTCAATACATGTGTTCTCCCTTTTGTTAAATTCTCTCTAAGTCAATTATTTGTACTTTTTTTAAAACTTTCATTAATTAAATTATTTTCATTTTACGTTGTTATTTTTCTTTGTTTCCGTTCAATTTGTCGTGTTGCAAGTGGCGTAAGTGCGACCGCCGGTTTCAATTTGATTTTTCGAATACAACCCCTAAATTTTCTTTTAATTACATGATTCTGCATTAAATTTGCAATTTGCAAAACATTTGATAATTGATACTCCGTAGTCGACCGTTTACTCATATCGCCTTGACAAGCAGTTAATTTATTTAAAAATAAGTTCTAACCGTTGCAATGAGTATTTAAAAAATGAATTACTCAGAAACACTAGGAGATACCTCGCAATCTGCTTCTCTTATCTGCTTTCGCAAATGGAAGCGGCTTCCTTTGTCTTAATTCTAAGAATTTTTAGCTCAATGTGCGACTAAAATCTCCATTGAGCAAGTAAGTTTATGAAGATGATTTTCTTGCCGGGCAAGGGCAGATCCAGCTTTCGAGTCAAGTAGCAGAAATTCAGTCTCTTGTTGCCTATGAAATTAGAAAAAATATTGTTAGTCGTTATAAACCCAGAACAAGGGGGAGAGAGTTGATGGCTCACATAACCCCCCTCCTGGATCCGCTCTTGGTTCGATGCATTCCTCGCGTCCTTGAGCTGAAGAAAATAATGTAAAATTTAAGACGTTTTGAGAAAATTTTCATTTTTTTTATAAACCGACCCCCCACACTTGGAAAAATTTCGGCCTAAAATCAAAATTTTACATGCGTGTTTTTTTAGCTCAATCGATTCCTTTCGACGTAAGAAGGTCACAAATATGCATTTATAAAGTGTTTGTGTCAATAATAAGGAAGAAATCGTCGACTAAAGATCGTGAACGCTCAAAAAACGCTTAAAATGTGCCGAAAATGTCTATTATTTCGGATCTGAACCTTCTAGGATGTTTTTCAATGAGTTCGATGCATTCCTCGCGTCCGTGAGTTGAAAATAATGTAAAATTTAAGATGTTTTGAGAAAATTTTCAATTTTGTACAATGCACAAATATGCATTTAAAAGTGTTTGGGTCAATAATAAGGATAAATCGTCGACTAAAGATCGTGAACGCTAAAAATCTGACGAAAATGTCTATTATTTCGGATCTGAACCTTCTAGCATGTTTTTCAATGAGTTCGATGAATTCCTCGCGTCCGTGAGCTGAAAATGATGTAAAATTTAAGATGTTTTGAGAAAATTTTCAATTTTGCACAATGCACAAATATACCTTTAAAAGTGTTTGGGTCAATAATAAGGAAGAAATCGTCGACTAAAGATCGTGAACGCTAAAAATCTGACGAAAATGTCTCTTATTTCGGATCTGAACCTTCTAGCATGTTTTTCAATGAGTTCGATGCAAGGGCGGATCCAGCTCCAAAAAATATTGTTAGTCGTTATAAACTCAGCACAAGGGGAGGGGGGTTCTGTGGGTGGCACAGTGTTTATGCTCAGGCCTTTTGTTTAGTACCAAACTCTTGTTTAGTTGTGTGGCGTTTTGTACATATTGTTAAGTGTTCGTTTGTTCGGAATGTTGTTGTCTCCCTATTAAAGTAGTTAAGCTAGTTTTGGCTTTTATTTCGAACCGGGTTGTGAAGTTAAGATGGGTAGTTGTTTCGGACACAAACGCTGGGTTTCGCTTTCTGGGTCAGTCTCACACCATTACTGAATAATCTCTAGGGTTGCAACCATATAGATTTTTTAGTTTCGTTTAAATTCTCGTGTCCATTGTGCAAGAATAACTTTTTTCAACTCACAGGATCTTAATACAATTCAGGAAAGTCGTTCTTTTGACTTCTCATCGGTCGACCTTACCATTCTCGAATACAATACATTTATTTACCAGTCAGGGTCCGCCAGGAAATTGCCAGAGGTCGGACACTTTTCGTAGTACTGAAATTATTTTATTGTCCATAACAGAAAATGGGCTGTTTAAAAATATCAAAACAAAAAGTCTTGACACTAAGACAAGCAAATAAATGATTGATCATTTGATCAGCACTGATAAATTAACACACAAGCAACCATTCAAATGGTTCAAACTAGCTTCTTTCGAAAATATGTAATAAGCTAATTAGTCATTTTTTTTTCGGTGAGGTTTGGGAAATGCTCTTTTATGCACTCCCAGAGCTGGTGGTCTGTCGCTCTGGGTTGTGTGGGACTCCAGCTGAGCTGTTTACACACTAAAACCCTTTCCTCACCGCCGAGGTGGTGTTTGGCTGTGCACCGCGGTCATTTCTGTCCTATTGTGCCCTCGTAATTTTACTCCCTCATTATCCCTGTATATTCAATGAATTCCAGAAGAATCTTGAGGGGA